CAAAAGTTTACGTGCACCATCGTCATGGGAAACTGCCATGCCAAGGTGAGATGACGAAGCGTCGGTGAAACGTTTGTCACTACATATGGCACCGTGTAGGGAAATGAGCAATGAGATCGGCTGATGACCATGGCAGAAAAGAAACACTTGCACACTGGCAACACCAGGATCAACAAAAAGATCAAAGGGAGAGGACATGACAGCGCCAAATGGGGACGACGAATGAAATCGACTTCATCTTGACGAAAGAAGCCTCAACATGCAAGCCATGGCAGTGGTGTCCTCGTTGAATGGCGGAAGTGGTCACAGATGGTGCGGGCCGGGCTAATCTTCGAGGAGAAGATCGGAAAAAAGGCGCTGTTAAGGGCAAGTCACAGACAACGAGGCGCTGCTCAAGCATGCACTTCCGGCGAACACTGGAGCCTTAAAGGCGGCTGTGAGGACGACTGCGAGAGGCTTGCTAAGAAACTGTCTAAAGTCGCCTGAAACGGTCACGTCAAAGGGAGCGAAAAGAAGTACCTCGTATGACAAAAGGATTTTTTCGAGCGGAAGACAAGAATGGAGAGGCATTAGACCGACAATGAATTACTCTCTTCCTTGCAAGGTCATTAGATGGAAACTGAAGGAGGAATTCAAGACCTAACGATGGCAAAAAGTACAGAAAACGTCCTAAGACTCCAGGAACTTTAAGCAATGCGGAAAGCGTTCGCTCCTTCTCAGTCTACCATCACATCATTGAAGAACGTGAATGACACGTTAGCTTAGTACAGAGCTGGGATGCAGTATATCTGCAGGAATGCTTAGGCCTGGCTCTTTGCTTCTCCACGAACCATCGCTCCAACACCCAGAAGAAAGTGCTGTTCTGTCCTCAGATTCGAAGTTCTTCGTGCCGTGCAGCAGATGAGAAAATTAAGAACCCGAAGTTAAAATGGTCAAGGCGGTTAGAGCAGGAGATCAGTAAATGCTCGTGGAATGCTCGAGCGGAGAGCTTCAATTGCTTCCTGGAGAGGGAAAAGACCCCTAGCTGGATTGAATGAGAAACAATCGTGCTGTTGAGGGTGGACGACTAGGAAGTGTGAAGAACTCTGGCCTAATTTGCCTCTCACAAGTGTACAAGTTGTTCGGTAGTACCATCACCAACAGACTATCATCAAGTCTTGATGAGCAGCAGCCAAGAAAGCAGTCAGGATCCCAGATAAGATATAAGAGAAGGGATGATATTTTTCCTTAAATTAACTTATGGAGTAGAGAGGGAATTCCAGGCCCTTCTTTGCATCACCTTCGAGAAAGGTTTCTACACCGTAGAGTACGGCGCAGTGGGGACTGCAGTGGCAAAACGGTAATCGATACCTGGCACATGAACCCGGTAACGGAGACAAATTTTGGCTACGTCACAAATATCACGCCGTTCGCCAGATCCTCCGAATTCCAGTAGAGAAGATGGTGAAGCAGGTGCCGCAACTGTTGTGGATAGTCTAGAATTATTGCCTCAAAGTCTTCATTGCCTGTTTGAAAATGGTGCTGCTGTGGATAATCTAGAATTATTCATGAGAATTATATCTATGATGAACAGTTAGCCACTTGACGTTGGATGATGACGTAATGCTCTTTGTGCCCAGGTAATGTTAAATGGCGAAAAGTTCGAGGAAGTGAATAAATGTAATTATGGGATTCAAGAGATCAGCACGCGACGAGATGTGGTTGAAGAGATTCATGGATGAAAGTTTCGTGACCGGGTAGCTCACGCTCCATGCCATTAACTGCGTCTTGTCTGATCGGGAAGAAACCCACTTCCATCCCTTCAGTTCTACGGTGTTGCATTCGATGTTGTATGACTGTGAGGC